GGTCCCTGCAAGGCTTGTTCCATAGAGTGAATAACTACTGAGCTTAAGGTTGATGTTTAAGTTAAGATCTGGTCATTTTCTAGAGTAGAGAGTGCATGCAAGAGCTCTCTTTACTCCATGAATGAAGAAAAATGAGTTTTTGGATATTTCTTAAACTATGGTTTTAGATCTTGGTTGTTTGGAGTGTCTCAATGGATAAAGTTGAAAATTTTATCCATTAAGACTAGTGGGAATCAGATCTGAGAGTTCGAGCCCTTGACTTAAAGGTTTAAGTCGAAAATGAAATTTAGATCTGAAAGGACGCGATGCATCTTCTGGAAGGTACGGGGCACCTCAAGTTTTTCCCGAATTGTGTCTGATTTAATCTAGAAATCGACTATTTTGTCCTTTTGTGGACGTTGGGCCCCCAAGAAAGGCCGTAGGGCACCTTTGATATTTTTGTTGGCTTTTGGGTTGTTGACTTTGACTTTTGACCATTGACTTTTGACCAATTTGACTTTTGGGTCAAACCTTGATGGAATTGAGTATTTGAGTAAGGATTAGTCTTGGATTGGTTTAGGTAATTTATGTTACATGTTTCATGTCAAAGAATGTTATTGAGTTTCCTCTGTTGGTCCAGGTAAATTTTCTCACTATACTATATGTTACATTATCTATCCTCTGTATGTTAGTATATAAATATGTTGTAGTATGATGTTAGGTAAATAAACTAGCTTAGTTGTTTGCATGTTGTTGTTGGATCGTTTATTTGTTTGTTTGTATATGTCGACATATTATATTTAGGGGTTGAGGGCGAACCAGCTATCAGCTGAAGGCCAATATACACAAGGGCGAACTAGCTATAAGCAAAAGGCCAAGGGGCGGACCAACTATAAGTTAAAGGGCAAGAGGCAGACCAACTATATGTTGAAGGCCATTACTTGTATGCATTGTATGTGTATTATGGTATATGATATTTTAGGGAACTCACTAAGCTTTGGTTTACAGTTGTGGATTTAATGTTTTTCATGTTGTTCTCCAAATCATGGGTAGGCTCCAGTTTAACTGTATTGTACGTGCATCGTAGACGATCATGACTTCTGTTGATTATGATTTGATAGTATGTTTTTTGAAACATGGTTTTGATGCATTTTTACACTATGGTTTTACAATGTTTTAAATTAACCTATTACTCTGATCTTTTATGAATATTCTTTGGATGAATTACTTATTATTTTTAAATGAAAATTTTGGTTTGAAAATTAAGACGTTACATTTTGATATAATTGTTGTGCACATTGATTAATAGAAATGGAAATGGTTTTTTTAATATGTCAATGCAAGGATGTGTAAATAGTCAATTTTGTTGTAACCAAGTTTAAGAAGGATTGGTTGCAATGTGGCTTGAACTTAAGCAAATTTTGAATGCTCGGATGTTAAATTGTTTTGAAAGATTTAAAGAGCGCTCTTTCACCACCAAAAAATTTTGACAGTTGCAAAAAGAAAAAAAAAATCTTGGAACTCTAGAAAGGAAACTTGACTATGAATGACTATAGCGTGAGATTTCATAATCTCTTGAGCTGTGCAAGAAGACTAGAACTAGATGAGACTACGTGGATTAGTCAATATGATGGAGGACTAATGTGGAATTACAAGCTAAACTTTGAAAAACCCCGCTAAAATTTTCATTATTATCATTTTTATATAAAAATAAGTAAGTTAGAAAAATACTTTGAAATATTATAATATGATTTTGAGTTCTCTCGAAAATATTTGGATTTATATGATATGCATTCGATTTGAATAATTGAGGTTACCTGGATTTTAAAATACAAGGGAGAAATTATGGAGTTTTACAAAATGAAATCAACTCTCACTACTAGAAACCTTACCTTCAGCGACAAAATCAGCTACGGATTCATTCTGTGACGGCTTATTGAGAGATCAACGACGGAACACATAAAGATATCGACCAAAATACTTATAGAGAAGTTCACAGAGGGATCTGCGATGGAATGGTAAGATTTTATCGACAGAAACAATTCTTCACTAATCCGTCACAAATTAAAACCTTTTAGCGAAGGAACAACGATGGATTTCTAAAAATCACAGGCCTATTTTTCTTGGCCCTCGCCAATCGCTCGCAGAGGATCAGACGCCTCCTTTTTTCATAATCTGTTTTTCTTTATTCTTTCCTTCCCTCGTCTTATTTTCATTGTCGCTTTTCTTTTTCGTTCCCTTGTTTTCTTCTCATTCCCTCTGATTTCTTCCCAAAACCCTAAATGATTTCCTTCCAAAGCCCCAATCAACCTTCTGTCGACTCAAATCCCTCCTCCGCCCGAGAAATCACCTCCACCACCATCCACCTGCATCGCTCCTCTTTGAAGACTGAAATATACTTGAAGACTCGTCGTTCCCTGCCAATGTCGTTCAATCTGTTCGTTCATCCTTTCATGCATCAGATCATAAACTCGAGCAAATCTAAATTAGTTGTCGTCAGCTTCCAATTCTGGCTTCTAGTAGTGTGTAAGTTGCCTTAACTCCTTAATTTTGTTTTTCGTATGGTTTTCATATTGATTATCATATTGACTCCAATTTCTATTGTCTAGATTATATAAATTAGCATACAGATTTTGTTTCTAGATTTGATCTGAAATGAATTTGGTACCGGGTGTAGGCATTTAATAAGGGGCTCAAATTCAAAACATCAGCAATCATGAGTTGCAGAATGTCTCGACCTATTGCTGGTATGTATTTTTGTTCCAATACTCGTGTCTTCTCTATTCCTATTTCTTTGTAGTATCTATGTTTGACTTTTAGGTCAAGAATATAGCTATTGAGTTAGAAACACATGACAAACATAGGAACAAATGCTTTAAAATGGACATTGTGATGCCTATTTGTAGTATTTATTTAAAAGAATATTTGGAACCAATGAAGTTGGTAGTGAGCAGAAAATCATTGGATTTGGTGTTGAGCAAGTCGTTTTAGTTTGGGATGAATATCTTAAAGAGAAGGTTTTCAATATTGTTGGAAAGAATGCCCTTGTTCTAACAACCATGGAGTCTAAGTGATTAGAATTTCAAGGTAAAATACTAATTAATCTTTTATTTGTTTTCAAATCTTAAAATGAAAATGATTTGTACAACCACAAAAGCCAAACATTATGATGTACTAAACTCTATATTTCATGTTTTGTAGGACGTATTGTTATATGACTTTTTTACCACATCATCTTTCTCAAATAATGAATTAGAGTGGTTGTGATTTAGTTAAATTAGTGTTAAATGTTGTTTGCTATTTGCTTATTGATTTTGTATTTTCAGTTGGCAACCAAATTCCGAAACAGTGAACAAACATGTGCATGTGCAAATAGAATACTTGTGCAAGAAGGTATAAATATAATAAACCATTATCTATGTCAAACTTTTTTACTTTGTAAGTTGATAAAAAGGGGAAACATGAAAGCAAATGATGATTGATATATATATATATATATATATATATATATATATATATATATATATATATATATATATATATAATTCTTTTATATGTAATTGGTATTATGAATATTTATGTTTCTTGTAGGCATATATGAGAAATTTACAAAAGCATTCTCAAATGTTGTTCAAGACCTTAAAGTTGGCAATGGTTTATGAAAAGGTGTGGCCCAGGTAATGAATTATTTAGATAAATGTAAAATTACCTAATTACCCCTAACTTTAAGCACCTTGATCGATTCTGATTTTCATTTAGTTCGCAATAACTACTATAATAACACACATCAACACCCTCTTTCTTTAACTTAAAGATTGTAACTAGTGTTGAATATTGTTTTGCAGGGCCCACTAATTAATGAGGTTGCTGTACAATAGGTTAATTTTTCTTAAACTATTTGATTAATCAATTTAATCACTTGTTATTATGTTTCCTAAATGAATGTCGCCTTGCAGGTTGATTCATTCATGCAGGATGTTGTCTCAAAGGTTTGATCACCATTCACCACACCAACTGTTGTCAATATTACATATTTTTGACTTTTTGCATTAAGTCGTTCTTTCTGCATTAAGTCACTAAAGTATGGAAATATTGTTTGATTTGATTTATTTATAGGGAGCTAAAGTTCTACTAGGTGGTAAAAGGCATAGCCTTGCACTACTAGAAAACATGGAATGGGATACGGCTATTTTTGCAAATATAATACGGATAATCATCCGTATTCTATTGGGGGTGTATCCTATTACAAAATAAATAGAATACGGTTAAAACAACCGTATGCTATCCAACGGTGTACGATATATGGTGTACTTTGACGTATCTTATATGGTGTATCTTATTGTACATGGTGTATCTTATATGGTGTATCTTATTGTACATGGTGTATCCTATATGATGTATCTTATTTACCTTGCCGTATCCTATATGGTGTATCTTATTGTATATGGTGTATCCTATTTACCTTGCCGTATCCTATATGGTGTATCTTATATGGTGTATTCTATACAATTGGTGTATCTACGTGAAGTGTATCCTATCATATTTATCAACCAACATTCTATCATGCACTAGAATGTGATAAAATAGACGTAAAGTACAATAAAGGATAAAAAAAGGAATATTTTATTATATAGATAAAATAGCTATATGTTATGTTCAATATGAGGCAAATCAACTATAAACAACGTATTGTTATGTTCAACTAAAATCTTAATTACATTTGCTTATTTCTTTCCATCTAAACTATTTTGTATGTAGCTCTTGAGGTCTTCTTGGTCACTACCATAGCATATTCCAAATCTGTTGAAAACATTGACAATATACACAATTAACTTGTAGCTTGAAAGAATCATTTAACATAAATAACTTGTTATTGCAATAATAATTTAAGAGTAAGATTTTTTTATTCATTCCCATCCAAACAAAAAATACATTTTTGTAATTTATTTCCAAATTCAAATCAAGCGGAAGATAAAAAAGACCATTATAATAGTAATAACAACTAACCATGTAACATAGCTTCATTTCAAATAGTTCTTCACAAAAGATGTCATCCAAAACTCAACAAAATCGTCTAACTCCGCATCCGGAAATGGTGTTTTATCGTTCCAAAGGTTCTACATACAAAGTATTACAAAATACTTAATTTAATAAAAATTAAGGTTTAGTTTTAAAATTAAAAAACTACTTACTTTAGGAAATCCTCGTTGTCTGTACAACACCATTTCATGCATCCACTTTGAGATGTAATAGCCACACTCCCAATTCGACGTTTGTTGGTTGCACTAAATATAAAATACACATGAGGATATATATATATATATATATATATATATATATATATATATATATATATATATAAAGTAAAATTAGTTACCTTTGCGATATTCCATGTCATTGCACGTGATCTAGATTTGGATTGTTTATTTAGCGTTGCAACAGCTCTAAAAAAGTACGCATTATTGATTTCTTAGAATCTATTGAAAAAATAATAGTCACAAAATACTAAATAAGAAACTTCTTACTTTTCGATATGTGTTACGATCTCATAGTCTTCAAATGTCTTCATACCTTGACATGAATCCAAAATGTAGCACACATGTGTACGAGGGCAGATTACAAATAATATGTAGTGAAACCTAGTAAAGTTTAAACATGTCAGCAAAAATAATTGACAAACATATAAGGCGTATAACATTTTCTAGAATATCATACCCTTGCAAATACGGTGCTAGAAAAATATCTTTATCTTGATGAAAGTTCATCGCATCAACTAACTCATTTACAACAACGTTTGTTACAAGTTCCTCATCGGTTCCACATTGCAAGGCCGTGATTTTTTGCGGGTTTATGAAGGCACATTTATTATCGTGTTGAAACATTGAATGTAGCATCCTGAAAAAAATGTATATATTATAAAGGTAAACTACTATGAAATATTAGTAAATGTTAACATACTCACATCTGAAAGCAAAAAATAGAATCAACATCGAGTTGCTTATTCGTCATAAGCTCTTTAATCACGTCCGGATAGATTACAACGTCAGTCCTCCCAGCTCCAAAGATCCCTGGCTCACTTCTAACATGGATTGGATATTCAATGTTGCGGCTCATAAAATTTTTATACAGTAACTTGATCTTCGGCCTGCCATTTAGTTCTTTTGGCATCACAAATTGTCGTATTTTCTTTGTAAGGGGCAAACTGTTAGTCTCCTCGTACTTTCTTTTTTGGTGTATCTACATTAAAAAACCATTTGATCAGCTAAAAGTTTTAAGGCCTAACAATAAGTTTAAGCTACTACTTTATCACCAGGATTATGAGAAGTATTGACCTGTGTTGAAGATGGTATCGGTGTTGGTATCGTTGTCGATGTGTGGGGAGGTCTTTGATCTTTTTGCACAGTTGGAGTGGGCTGGGAAGTTTAGAAATGGTTACATATTGATTTCATTATATATGACTATAATATTAAAAAATAAAGGAAATTTGTATTTTACCTTAACTAGAGCAATTGAATTTGGTGGCCATTGTGTAAAACCATACAATGCATTCCCCAAATTACATGTTTCTTCAGTCGGCACAGGAAGAGGGAACAACTTATAACCATCATAAATCTTTCGTACAGATACCTTCACATGATGCTCTTTGAGCGGTATCCCATGTAACATCCCATTCTCTGATGGGTAGACTTTCCCTTCGGCAACTATATGATGCTCTGTATCTGATGGTAGCAGCAACTGACACTCAATGGGAGCCTACACACACACACACCCACACACACACACACACACACACACACACACATATATATATATATATATATATATATATATATATATATATATATATATATATATAACATGTACATAATTAGTTTGTTTATGCGTGTTTAAAGGTATTCTATATGAAGAAACAATGTATACCTTTATATTATCTAATGCATCCATCATTGTCGATCCAACACTAGGTTTCTTCAATTTCGGGCTTCTAACTTTTATCACCTCGTTCCTACGAGTATCATCATGTTGCATCATGCCAAGATTCACACTAGTAGCCACCATAGAGTCGACCATGTCCCCGACAGTATCTACCACCTTAGCTATCATATCAGGCACCATATCAGTCATCAGCTTATCATATAACTTCTCAAATAACTTATTAAACAAACGCTCCTCTAGCCTCGTTACCAAATCTTCCAAATCTGGTAACTCTTGTTGTTTCCAATTTCTCTGGTTAATCCTTGATTCTTTTAGAGTGACATTATAACCCACCGCCCTCGTGCGACCAGGGTGCTCTTTTCCTAAAACCTTTGCCATCAAATCAACTCCGGGTTTATCTTTTGATATCTGTACATGCAAACAAAAGGATTTTATTAAATTACATATTAAATAAATGGTATATAGAGATGAAGAAAAAAAAGTACACTTACAAACTCATCTGCTAATTGCTCACTCTCAGGTGCTACAATGTAATCCCCTGAGGGAGTGCGTTTTGTCCTAGCATAGATAAAATCTCTTGCCTGCTCGCTTGATATATGGTGTCCTTTTATTTTCGCACCTAACTCGATATCTTTATCCCACCGAGCTTTGTTCCCACGATACCCCAATGGGCCTAAGTGAGCTGGATTTTTGTTCTTCTTCATAGTCTCCTTCCCTTTTTTCCTTTTTTCCTTCACACATATAAATGCAATTCGAATATGTATTGTTTAAAAATATCATAAATAAGTACTAAAGCCCAAAAAAAAACCTGGAATTCTTCGGTGGATTTTAGCTTAACAAAATCTTCCCATAATTCTTTGGTTAGGTACGGGTAAAATGTTGATGCATCGAGATCATTGTCCATGAAATCTGTAACAAGCGTCGACTTGTAGGCCCTCCATGAATTGTTACATACTTTAAGTGTTTGTTTTTTGGGAGCATCATTTGGTATATTCCAATAATTCTTTTTTTTAAAATAAAGTATAGTAACTATTAGTAATAATTATTAATTAAAGAACATTTAGCAAGTAATAAATATCATACCTTAATGTCCAACCACAAGTCATGGAGCTCTGACTTAGGTACTTTATCCCAACTCTCTTTAAGGATAGAAATTCTACTCCTGGCTGTGACTCCACAATAACTTGCAAACTTAGGCTGATACTCTCCAATAGCTCGATTATAATTATCGAAATCAACATGCATTGCTGCTAACTTTTCTTTAGTCTTTTCCCTTATCAATGTGGCGCTTCTCTTACCCCTTTCTATATTTTCCATTGTTGGACGGGCAGGTTACTGTAGAACTCGGATTCAATGCAACTATCAGGTTTGTTTAGTAAAATGGTTTTCAGAATAACATCATTTTCCTTAAATAATTAAATATTAATATTTTTTAACATGTTACCCATAACTGCATATCATTGTAAAGTGTAAAAAAAGCATTTCAGTGTTCATTAAGCAATCACATGTTTACTTTTTTATATTAAACACAATCTATTGTTAATAATGGATCCATATAATAAAAACAAAACAAAAAAGAACAATAATAACAATTAGTTTAAATTCATCGCAACAGTTCAACAAAAAACCGGTCAAAAAAGAATCACTTCGCTTTGTATAACTCACAGACCCTTCCAACTTCTCTATGAATTATATATCACATAAAAAATATAACACTTTTACAGATCTTTTACATATGAAATGACACTCGGTAATATGATGTTATTATCTTCAAATTTATCTGATATTAGTGGAAGCAAAGTAAAATCAAAGTGAAATTGTTCTTTCATAACTTTTGGATAAAAGACCAACAATGGTATTATAGCTAGCAGGAGTATGTGGTATCTAATCTCAATCATTATGCAAAGACGATAAAAAGAAGATTATCCCTTTTGGAAAGTTTTTCCAAGTATGTCACCCATGCCACTCCAAGGTTCAGATCAAGACTTTTCTAGTACAAGTATCACTGTAACAATTTCTTTTTAACAATTTCTTTTAGTAATCCTTTAGAATAAGAAATATTTATATTTATAATATTATTATAGGTTCTTAAGGTATGTACTTCTTTAGTCAGTATGTACCATGTTGGTCCGCTCCTACCCACCAAAAAGATATATATAACATTATTGTTAGCGACATGCCGCATTCCACCACAGAGATGAATTGGATTGAGGTTTTGTGCAATTAGGTATTTAGTTTTTTAGTTGCCGGTAGTATGAAGAAGAGTGAAGATGGTACGTAGTGTGGTCACGTATTAATATCAAAACAAACTGTTCAAAAGGTCGACTAAAAGAAACAAAGTACCTAGTGGTCGACGACTGTGAAGGTGGTGGCGGAGGTTTGACTGGGGGTCGCCGGTTATGGAGAGTTTATTGCCAATTGACGACGGAATTTGATTGATGGTCACCGACGGTAAACGGAGAGTTGATAGTGGTCGCCGGTGATAAAGAATTGCTAGTGGTCGTCGTCTCTGTAGCGATGTTGCAATTAAATATGGAGAGGGTAAACCGACGGTAATTTTTGGAGGATTATACTTACCAATCCAATTTAGGGTACAGGAGGGTAGTTCTTGGATGGCGGGGATTTTAAATATTTTGGATAAATTACTTGCCGTATTGCCCAATTCCAATAACCGGCCCAATTATTTTTTTTCTTAATTGTTTTTATAATATATATATATATATATATATATATATATATATTAATCGATTACAATAATTTTGAGTTTTATTTTGGTTATTTGAAAACTTGAAAGATCTTAACTATATTTTAGTTATATAAAATACATAGTGAATTTTATAATATCAAATATCAAATAACAAAAACAATATATTTAAAAAACAAAATGATTAAACTATTTAAAATATTGAACTGAAGTACATTATAAATAAAAACAAAGTCAATAAATAAAAATATCTTCTCTAGTAGATGTCTTCATAAGTAACATGTCATTTTTTGTTTCTGCAAACAAACAAAAAATAGTAAGTATATAATATCATAATCTATTTCGTTTCAAATGACAATCAAGTTGTTTTGTTATGGTTTTTTAATTAAATAAATGACATTATACCTTTTTCTCTTCTTAGATTCAACATAAACTCCTTCGTTGTGGTCTGACCTTAAATAAGCACTATCATTGATAATGACATCTGAGGATGTGATGCCGATAGAAAATGGAGGTAGCTCATCAAATTGGTTGTATTCTTCCTCGTCCTCAACATTTTCAACACCAAGTATACGTCGTTTACCTTGCAGGACGATGTGTCATCTAGAATTCTTGGGGTCCTCAACATAGAATACCTGGTTAGCTTGATTGGCTAGAATAAATGGCTCGGATACATAGCCATCTGTGGAAAGGTCGACAAGTGTGAAACCGTCTTCGTCAACTTTAACACCTCCTTTATTCTTGACCCACTTACACTTGAAGAGCGGTACTATAGTTGATGAATCATATTTCAATTCCCAAATTTCTTGAATGACACCATAATATGAATCTTTGGCTATAATCGCTTGTGCCTGGTGATTCACATTAGAGTATCCAATCGAGGTTGCTATTAACGTCACACCACTATTTTGTTGTGTACTCTTTCGATGCTGTTTTTCGGTGTAAAATGTATATCCGTTAATGTCATAGCTCTGGTAAGTGGACACGACATTTCGCGGACCATACGCTAATAGTTTAACCAAAGGATCAAGATTTTCTTTATCTAACTTTTCTTTCATCTTTTCCTTCAACCATGTTGGAAATGTTCTGATTTGCTCCTTAACATACCATTTTTCAGACCTTTTTTCGTTTCTAGATCGTAATGTTGACATGTGCTCATTTATGTATGGAGCGACAACTGTCATGTGTTGTAACACTGTAAAGTGTGCTAGGTGGAATTCATCACGATTAGGTATGATCACTTTCAATCCAACAACACCAATCCCTTGAAGTCTACCTTCATGTCTTGATTGTGGCATCCCAATAGCGGGAACACCTTTTAGATAGTTTGTACAAAATTCAATCACCTCTTCTGAAGCATATCCTTTAACAATACTGCCCTCTGGTCGATGTCGATTTCTTACATACCCTTTTAAGAAACCCATGTATCTCTCAAATGGGTACATGTATCGTAGATATACTGGACCACAAACCTTTATTTCTCTTACAATATGAGATACAAGGTGAACCATGACATCAAAAAATGAAGGTGGAAAGTACATTTCAAGTTGGCATAAAGTGATGATAATATCGCGTTGCCATGAATCTAACACTTCGGGGTCAATAACTTTTTGAATGAATCATGTTAAAAAACAAGCATAACTTTGTAATTGTGTGTCGGACATCGTCTGGCAGTATTCCACGAATTGCAATTGGAATCATATGTGTGATTAGAACATGAAAATCATGTGACTTCATACCCATTAATTTAAGGTCTTTCATGGACACCAACTTACTAATGTTTGAAGAATAGCTGGATGGCACTTTCACATCATGCAAACATTTACAAAATTTTGTTTTCTCATCTTTAGACAAAGTATGACAAGCTGGTGGTAGATACGTGCGCTTTCCTTCTTTTTCAATGGGTGCAAGTTGTGGTCGTATTCCCATTGTAACCATGTCCCTTCGAACGTTGATCCCATCCTTTGATTTCTTATAAATGTCCAACAACAAAGCTATCAAGGCATCGCAAACATTCTTCTCAATATGCATAACATCAAGACAATGTCGTACCTCTAACTTTTCCCAATATGGTAATTCCCAAAAGATAGACCTCTTTTTCCAATTAGTTGGCTGCTTATTGTTATTGCGTTTTCCAAACTGAATATCTAAATTCTGAACTCGAGAAAATGTAGTTTTTCCGTCCATTGGGTCAGGCATGTCTCGCTTTTCAGTTTTACCATCAAACAAATCTCCCTTTTTTACGATAAACATGGGTCTTTGGAAGAAAGCGTCGATGGCCCATATATACATGTTTCTTACATTCTCCCAACCATAAAAACACTGTGTCTTTTTCACAAACTGGACATGCCTTCTTTCCTTTTGTACTATATCCAGACAAATTTGCATAAGCTGGAAAATCACTTATAGTGCAAAATATCATGGCATGTAGTTGGAAATACTCCTTCTCGAACGCATCATACACTCTGACACCAAATTTCCATAGTAATTTCATTTCCTCAATTAATGGAGCTAAAAACACATCAATGTCATTACCAGGTTGTTTTGGGCCTTGAATTAGTAATGGCATCATGATGTATTTTCTTTTCATGGATAACCAAGGTGGAAGATTATAAATGCATAGAAGTACTGGCCATGTGCTATGACTGCTACTCATGTTTCCAAACGGATTGATTCCATCTGAACTAAGTCCAAACCGAATATTTCTAATCTCACCACCAAATTCTTTAAATTCAAAATCAATATTCTCCCATTGAGGAGAATCAGCCACATGCCTTAATTTTCCGTCTACCGTACGCTTATCGGCATGCCAACGTAACAATTTCGCATCTTTGGCGTTTGCAAATAATCGTTTCAATCTTGGTATGACAGGAAAATACCATAACACTTTTGCAGGGGGGCCGTTCTTTCTCACATCACTGTTTACTTCTGTTTGTTTCTTTTTCATATATCTTGACGCCCCGCATGTGATACATTCGTGTAGATTAGCATGCTCGTTTCTATATAACATACAATCATTTGGACATGCATGTATTCTTTCGACTTCTAAATCCATCGGACACAATAGTTTTTTTTGCTTGGTATAATGAAATAGGCAACTCATTATTTTCGGGGAGCATGTCATGTAGAAGCTCTAGCAAGTCCGTGAAACTTTTATCACTCCAACCATTGCTTGCTTTTAAATTAAACAATTTTAGCACTGCAGAAATTTTGGTAAATTTAGTGCAACCAACATACAATGGTTTTTCAGCGTCGTCAAACAGTTGAAATTTTTCGTAATCTTTATCAGGGATATTATCTTCCATATCATGTAGCATGTCATCCACTTTATCAGAATTGTCATTTTGTGAATCATCAATATCATCACCATTATTTTCAGTATCAACCATGTTACGATCAACAAATGATTCACCATGCCGTGTCCAACGTGTATAGCCATTCATAACCCATAACATATCAGATGTTCTTGTAGTATGTTTAATTCACTAAACTTTTTGCAATTATGACACTTTTTACAAGAGCACCAAATGTGAGTCTCTCCTTGTTTCACCCGATGATCATCAGCAACTTTAAGAAAAATATTCAAGTAATATAAATATCCATCGCTAGCACG